TAAGAGGACCATCAGCCACGAGGAGATGAGACTTCTGCACAGCAGTGATTTTTTTTGCTCTTATTCTGCCCCTTGCTTCCTGCAGTGGCTTTCAAACTAAACAGGACCAGTTTTGCCCAGTTCCTTTCCACAGAAGCCCTGGGACTCGCTGAATCGCCAGCTTAGTGATCACAGCCTGAGAATCTCAAGTGAGACTGTCTGCTTTCAATCTAGCTCGGCCACTTTAATAGCTGTGTTATCTGGGCAGTGTACTTGGACTTCCTTTGCCGTTTTCCCATCTGTAGAGAGGCGTAATAATAGTACTGCTGCATGATGAGCTTGAAAAAATTAAACGCTTCCAGTTTTTGAAACTTCCCGTTCCACTATTCACTCCACGGACTATTTCCTTTTCCTGTAGCCACAGCTGCTTCCAGCAGCCACTGCAGAGCTATCCCCCAGAGAAGCCGCTACAGCTCCCAAGCCTCGTTAACCTTTTGTGGTTGCAGAAGTCATCCCCAAGGTCACTTTCTCACCATCCACATGCGAGCGTGCACCAGGCAGACATGGCCTTCAGCTGCCTACCACACGCAGTTTCTCAGCCTTTGTTCCTCACAGGTCCTCAGCCGTTGGCTGGATTTGTAATTGTCATGGTGTTATTACATTATGTACTCGTCAGGAGATATTTCAATAAATTTTCATAATGTGGCCACACTGCACATTATTCAAACTAGAATAGCTGTCTCTGGGCTTTCTCATAGGCTGATAGTCCAGTGAGTTCTTTATGACTTTGAGGCAAATTTAAATACGTGAGCTTCAGTATTCTGTACATGTGCTTTTGGGCCTGTGGCATTCTGGAACACTGAAGGAGCATTGCTTAGGAAAGTACCACCTGAACTTTAGTCATCCGAGTACCATGTAGGCACGTGGGGTGAGTTTCTTTGTCCACTGAGGGGGAAAATGTGGGCTCCTGAGTCAGGCTGCCGGGGTTGGAATCCAGCTCTGCCATCTAACAGCTCTGGAATCTGGACTGTGTCCTTGAAAGTTCTGTGCCTGAATTTTCCCATCTATGAAATGGGGATGATATTACTACCATATAACAAGCTTGAGAGAATCATTCCCACAGGAAACAGGAGAAGAGTGCCTGGCGAGCATAGATCCAGTTGTGGGAAGGGTGGTCTGCAATGCAGTCTGCCTCGGGAGATGGGCTGGGTAGCCAATGGGAGCTCGCCCATTATCTTGTGCCCAACCCTCCTGGGAGCACCCTGCTTCTCTGCTTCAGTTCCTTCCAGTCAGATGGCTGCTGCTCATTAGAGTCCATAATGTGCAGCATCCTCCACTCCCTGGGTCCTGCCTCTCTCATCTCATAAATAGCATTCTGGTTTTACCAGTTTGCTGCTCCTTGAACACAACAGACTGTTTCATTGCCCTCTGCCTCCCCTCTGGTCCTGCACTCAGGCCTAGGCAGGTAGAGTCAGCAAGGCCCTGCACTGCCACTGTCATGTGCGATGGAAGGTGGCCTGTCCCATTGTGATGTCATCTGGGGCATCTTGAAGTTGAGGACTATTCTTAGCTGGCCTGAGTTTCTTTAGCCTCCAACCAACACCCAGGACCCTGCCATCACCCACCGTGGGGCCAGCTGCTCAGACCGGCCCATTCGCAGAGGGCTCTCCCCAGGTCAGGACCTGACACCTGCGGTCAGAGGGGCAGAATGACCCGCTTCTCAGGCTCTACAACGCGATCAGACAGACTAGAGCAGAGAGAGTGCAACACAGAGTAGCCTGGCTTCAAGGTTGCACACGGAGCCCCATGTGAACAAAGAAAGCATATCCTGTGTCAGAGCCAGGCCCAAGGAGACCAAAGAGGCCAGTAGTGCACACTGTGTTTTATGGTCATGATTTAGCAACACTAATGAAGCAAGAGTGCAACCTGACCACCACCCCCATCTCAAAACCTGTATATTTGGAAAATCCTGATAGAAATCATGAAATATTTAGAATCAAATCACAGTAAGAACTACATGTCTACACTTGTGAAATGTCACTGAAGTGATGCTTAAATGAAAATTTGAAGCATGAATTCATACGTTAAAAAGGAAGAGTTAAAGTTAATGATCTATGTGTCCATGTCAAGAAATGAGAAAATGACACTAAAGCCAAATAGATCAGAAAGATGGAAATAATATAGATGAGAGATAGAAAGGCTGGCATTTGGGTTAGGTTATGTTGTTGTAAAGAAAAAAATCTGTCAAAAACATAGCCAGACATGAATACCTATTTAGCATCTATATATTCTGAATGTTTCTCTTTGCTTGCATTATAGTTCTCAAAATTGATTTGTAAAAACTACAGGCCAGCAAAGCAAACATTAATTTTTACTTTTTTTAAGTGAGTGCCTACCATTTGAAACGTATATTTTAGTGGCTTTCCCACTGGGCTCTCAGATGAAAAGACAGGAGACTTTCTGGTCCTGTTTTGAAGCTCTGGGCCATCACACAGCCCTCCCATACTTCCGTGCAGCTGTGCAAGAGGGGGCTCTTTAACAAGTCCCCCAGGTCTCCAGCATGGATTGGTGTTCAGATTAAACCATCCCAAATCCCCCCAAATTCAGTGGGAACCTGCCTGGCTGTTTCTGCAACAGGCAGTCGCAAGCAAGTAGAAACTTGATTTTTGTGCAGCTAGGTGAGAGAGAGCAGTTGTTAGATACCATTAGTGATGTGACTTGGAAATAAAAATGTCCCTCTGATAACGTTTTCCAGCTTCTGAATTACTTTAATTAGAGACTCTGAGCTTGCAGGGCAGGTGTTGGGTGGTTACCATGAAGACTTATCAGTGCCGATCAGGACTCCTGTTCCCGTGTCACTGAATAAAATAGAGTGGTGACTGAACGAAGCACTGGGCTGACAAAGGCTACGACTTTGATTTCCAGTATTTGCTTCTCCAGTCAGGGCCACCGCCGTTTTACAATGCAATCCTCAGGGAGCACAGCAGCACCCACCCTGCGCATGCCTTCTGGCTGCTTGCACTCCAGGCAGAGCTGAGGAGTTATGGCAAAGACCTTATGGTTCTAAAAAGTCTAAATATGGACTATTTGGGCTTTTACAAGAAAAGTGAGCTGACTCTGCTCCAAACAGGAACATTGTTCTCTTTGACTTATTAATCTATATATCCTATCTAATATGCTAATTAACCCTCACACTGTCACAAAGATGGTGGCACCCACAGCCAATAAGGAGGGAATATGCTAATTGACCCTCACACTGTTGCAAAGATGGCGGCACCCACAGCCAATAAGGAGGGGATATGCTAATTGACTGCCACACCCTCAAAGATGGTGGCGACCACTGCTAATAAGGAGGGGATATGCTAATTGACTGCCCCACCCTCAAAGATGGTGGTGCCCAGTTCCCTCAGCCCCACCAGGGTGGCAGGCACAGGGCAAGGCTGGGCCTGCCCCCAGGGGCCCAGCCTTGCCTCACACCTGCCTCTCAGCCCCCCAGCCACCCAGGGCCGCCTGAGGCTCAGGTAACCAGGGCTGACCAAGGCTTGCGCTGCTGGCAGTGGCAGCAGCAGAGGTGTGATGGGGGTGTTGCCTTCCCCTGAGCACCAGGTTGCCTCCCGCCCCTGAGGGCTCCCGAACTGTGAGAGGGGGCAGGCCGGGCTGAGGGAACCCCCCCTCCAGTGCATGAATTTTCATGCACTGGGCCTCTAGTATACTAATAAAACCCTAAACAACTTGTCAACTGTTCGACCAGTCTACTGTTTGACTGGTTGCTATGACACTCAATGACCACCAGGGGGCAGACACTCAACGCAGGAGCTGCCCCCTGGTGATCAGTGCGCTCCCACAGCTGGAGCGCTGCTCAGCTGCCTGACGATGGGTGCCAGATGCCAGGCTCACAACTGGTGAACACAGCTGTGGCGGCTCGAGCCTCTCCCGCCTCTGTGGCAGCACTACCAAGTGGCGGAGGTGGCGGTGCAGCAGGGCCGGGATAAGTGGGAGCAGCACAGTGCCCAGCCCTGCTCAGGCTCTTCCCTAGCGCACTACTACATCCCCCAAGGGGTCCTGGATTGTGAGAGGGCACAGGCCAGGCTGAGGTACCCCACTGGTGCACGAATCCGTGCACCGGTCCTCTAGTGTTGTCATAAATGTAAATGTACAAAATGCATGGATAATAAAACACTAGTTTTTCTTCTATTGGTGCTTTACACAAGATTTTATCCTAAAAGCAAGCAAAGGAATCTGTTGCTACCAGAACTTGGAAACTGCTGTGTTATGGCATCATATCAGGGAGGTGTTACTGCAGTTTGCAAAATGAAGCTAATTCTATAGGTAAGGCCTGGGAAAATCAGTCTTCAGATCTTCAAGAACTGAAAGTAACTGTTAGGTTGCTAGTATTGGAGGCATTTTTTGAACTTAAAATTATCCTATTAACATTTGTTTCTCTGTGACAAAATATAACAAATATAGCCCTTCAATGATTTCTTAGACATGGTTTAGAAATACCTAGGTTTATTTTTTTAATGTTTTTATTGATTCCAGAGAGAGGGAGAGAGAGAGAAACACCAGTGATGAGAGAGAATCATTGATTGGCTGCCTCCTACACACTCCCTATTGGGGATCGAGCCCACAGCCCAGGCATGTTCCTTGATCGGGAATCAAACCATGACCTCCTGGTTCATGGGTCAATGCTCAACCACTGAGCCACATGGGCTGGGCAATACATGGTTATTTTTTAAAGTATATGTACACTGACAAAGTTGGTAGGATGTTGTTCCTTTCTGCCAAATTTTAAAAATCACAATTATTATACTTTCTATAAAAAAGTTAGCAACACTCCAGCACCCACAGTCTTATTGCCCCTAATTGGGCTAATGGGAGTCCTAAGCATTCATGGGATCCCACAGCATGAGGGCGGAAACTGAGTGGGACAACTCCTCAAAGTTCACCTGCCTGGGCCATCAGCCCAACTCAGTGCCCTCCAGAACCAGAGGTACTCACCGATTCCCTCTGTGTCTTTGAAGGGTATTCCCCGAGTCCCTCCGGTGGCTGATGGCTACCCAGCAGTTTGAGTCTGCGAAGAAGTTGATCCTGCACTTCACCCAGAAGAACTCCATGAACACTGAGACTGACATCAAAGGCGTGATGCCCGGTGAGTACAGGCCCTGTGAGAGGCGCCCCTGTCCTGGACCGAGTGTCAGAGCAGTTCCCCGATGCTGGGGATGGCTGGTTTTCCAAGCAGCTGTCCTAGCTAGCGGCTTCATGTCCTGTGATGGTTGCTTAATGTCTGCAGATAGGCTAGGAACATGGGCGGATTGAAATTCTCTCCACCCTCTAGGAGTTGGGTCTTTCCTGGCCAGGTCTGACACACTGTGGGCCCCACATAGCCTGCCCAAACCCCAGCGTGCAGTGTGAGCCTAATGTGCACCTGGTTGCCAAGGGAACATGCGGGGGGCGGGGGGCAGGTAAAAATGCCCGAGCCTGGCACAGCCCTGCCTGCCTACCTGCCAGGTCCAAAGGCCCTCAGAGCACTGGCTGGGAGCGGCTGGCTTCACTACCTTTCTTTTCCCAACTGCGACCTCAGGGAGCCGCCACCGTCTATACCTGTCATGACCGATTTGTGGGGGCTGAGGAAGTAGGAGCGTGAAGCATTTCTGCAGATGTGTTCAGGCCCACTGGCAACATCCTCCCAGGGCAGATCCAGTTCTCAAGCTGCGGCTCCACAATATCACCAAGAGGCTGTTAAAATCCAGGCTCCAGGGCCTTCCCTGGCACAAGAGGTTCTGATCCAGTCAATTTGGAATAAGCGCTAAGAACGTGCGCTTTTAGTAAACACTAGGAGAGATTCTGGCGCCCACGGTGCACAGATGCCCTTTTGAAAGCCCCTGGTAGACCCAACCCAAGCCCCGACCCACTCCCCCAACCTGAAGACCCGCATCGATGGCACTGTTGTTATAAATTTCCCAGGCAAATAATCTGCAGGCCCTTGTCCCAGAGAGATACGCACATTTCCCGCCGTGACCTAAACTTGGATGCCGCAGACATTCACTAAGCGCCGCCATGTGCAGCCACTGCTCCAGAGCAGAGAAAGCAGGAGGCAGAGCCTTGCTCTCGTGGAGCCTGCCGGCCGGTGTGCAGGCCCACAGTGCACACAGAGATGTGTAGTGCGCCCGGGGGATGCGTGCTGTAGGGAAAATCTCAGAGCGGAGGGCTTGAGCGCGGTGGTGCGGACCCACTCTGAGCGCTGGGGAGCCTGGCTCCAAGTACAGGTGAGCAGACACCTGCGTGAAGCTGGAGAATGTGCCGGTCCCGATGGGAAAGGAGCAGGAGCCGAGAAGCTCAGAGCCCACTGGCCGGGAAAGGCTTCTGTACGCGCCTCTTCCGTGGTCCGAGACAGGCTGCTCACAGCCTCCTGACTCAGGGGACCTGGGGTTCAGTGTCCCAGATGCTGCTGCTCGGCCAGGTGAGCCCCTGCCTTGGCCTGTGCCCAGGACCTAGGAGGTGAGGACAGCAAGGCCAGGCCACCTCCACGTCAGCACAGGCAAGAGTTCAGGAGGCCCAGAGCCCATGCTTTACTGGAACAAAGGAGGACATGCGCCAGGTCTGCTTTCTGAGAAGAGCGCTGAGTGCTGGTGCTCTGCAGAGGGCAGCTGTGGCCCTTGTCCCGCGGCAATGACCAGACACTTTTCTAAATGACTTGCAAATGTTAACTTACATCTGATATTTACCCCTAAATGCTCGATGTGTATTAACTTATATTTCTTCCCAACTTGAGTCCTCTGAGGGGGTTACTATAATCATCTGTGTTTGCAGGAGGGGAAACTGAGGCACAGGGAGGGTTAAGTATCTTGCCAGAGGTCATATACTGAGTAAGTAGTTGAGCGGGGACTTGAACCCAAGAAGTCCAGCAGAAGTGGCTTCGCTGGCTGTTTTTGAGAGAGGGGGCTGGGCTCTGAGACAAATGTGCCTGTTTGGAGAGGAATTCGTATTGAATTCACTTTCCTCCTTTTGGGCATGTTTGCTGATTTTGGAGTGTCCAGCTATCTTCCCGAAACTTATCCAGGCCCCATTCATTATGAAGATAATGCTCTTAAGTCTTTCCGTGTAATTTGTTTCGGGAATTTCTCTAATTAAATCACATGTTCTACTTCTTTCAGGTTGAAATACTGTCTGGGAAAAGCTTGTTTTCTCAATCCAAATTACACTCATTCATTTCCCTCCTATTTCTGGAGGGAAATGAATTTTCCCCTTTCTTTGCCTCTGAGTTTTGCTGGTGTGATTTTTTATGCTGGTGCCCCTGGCACAGGTGGCCTCCCCGCCCCCCCTCAGTGCCCCCACTCCTGGGGGCACTGCATTCACACCTGCCTCCTGATCTTGTTCACACCCAGCTCTCGAACACACTGATGAGAGCATCGCGGCAGAAGCCGCCCAATGCTTGCAGGAAGACAGGTGTCTGTTTCATCTAAATTAGTCACTTCCAACTTTCTTAGGCTGGACTCGCTTTTCTGCTGGAAATCTTCCCATCGCCTCACCTAATCCACCTCCCAACACCTTAGTGTCCTACTTCGCCTCTTACCTTCCTTGACTCCATCCTCACTGCTACCCTTCCCCTCACATCACCTCCTACTCAGAACTGCTTCCCAGGACCCTTAGGCTAGACCCCCAGTCCTTCAACTGCTCTGAGACCCTGTCTCACGTCTGCCTGCCTCTCGCAGATGCTCTGGCCTTCGCTGGGCCCTCAGAATGCACCAGTGCTTCCTGGCTGCAGGGCCCTCCCTGTCCTCAGCCTCACCCTCGTTCGGCCAGCTCCTGGGAAACCAGTCCTCAGGTTAGCCTGACTCCTCAGACCCCGGCCAGCTCTCCAGTGGTGCACCATCTCAGTTGCAGACACCGGGGCCCGTTGCCAGCATCCAGCTGTGATGAACGGTTTGTGTGGCTCCTCCGGGCCCATCGCCCTGTGTCTGCAGAGCCTGGTTCTGCTGTTGCCCAGCACTAGCAGACCTGACTGCTAGCAGGCCTTCCACGAAAGCTAGTAAATACATGAAACGTGGTCAGCTGTAGTTACTGGTTGTGTTGCCTGGAGGTGGAGGAGTGTCTCAGGTTGGGCTGCAGGTGCATGCGTCAGGGGAGCTCCTGACCCTGTCAGCGTATCCTAATCTTGGATTCAGGCCAGAAGAAAACCTCATGTTGCAAAATGTTCCATGCCCTTCCTCTTTTAAACAGATCTTCAGTTTATTATTGAACATGGCAGATTTTCTCAGTGGAGTTTGCAGCTGAATTACCACCAATATTTGGGTCTGCTCTGGAGTGTCATTGTCACAGTATCACTCCTACAATCATTAGGGTCACATGGCACATCCAAGTACTGACAGCTCTCCTTGTATCATAATTCCCAAGATTTTGAACATGTACTGCAGGAGTAGAGCCTGCTGGTTTCAAATGTGGCCGCATGGACTGCAGCCACTGTACAGAGAAATCTTGGAATAAGAACTCCACCCCTGCTCCTAGTTGCAGCAATGCCGGCAGTCACTGGGCAGTGCCCCCGCAAGGCCTGGCTGAAACACTATGTGCATATGATCCTCATCAGAGCCTTAGGAGGGCCATAACCAGACCGTCCTGCTGTACATGTGAGGAAACCGGGCCCAGAGAGGCTGAACGTTGGGAGGCACTGCTTCCCCACACCCCACATTCCCTCCTCGTGGAAGGAGCCAGACCCAAGGAGGCAGAGCGGACCCCTCTCCTCTTTTTCTCCTGGAGATTGGACCATGTGCAGGGTGCAGGGGGCAGGTCCTGTGTCCTCAGACAACAGGCCCTCTCGGGCAGTACCCGGGGAAGCCAGCGTGGCCCAGCCTTGCCAAGATGGGCAGATGAGTCTGTACGATGCAGGTATCCCAACCTCAGGCCCCTCCCAGTGGTGGAGCACAGATATTGTCCTCACCTGCCTTGCTTTTTATCTTCTCCATCTGTTTGGAACCTGAAGTGAGAAAAGAGGGGCCATGTATCAGGCCACTCAGGGTCCCTAAAAATAGGTAACTTGTCCAAAGTCCTTCTCCTCCTGCCCCTCATGCTCCTCCTCCTTCTGCTGCTGCTGCTCCTCCTCCTCTACCTGCTCCCCCTCCTCCTGCTGCTCCTCCTCCTCCACCGCCTGCTCCCCCTTCTCCTGGCCCTCCTCCTCCTCCTCCACCTGCTCCCCCTCCTCCTGCTCCTTCTCTACCTGCTCCTCCTGCTCCTCTTTCTTCTCCTGCTCCTCGTCCTCCTCCCCTTTCTGCTGCTCCTCCACTTGTTCCCCCTTCTCTTCCTCCTGCTCCTCCTGCTACTCCTCCTGATCCCCCTCCTCCTCTTCCTCCTGCTCCTCCTCCTCCACCTGCTCCTCCTGCTGCTCCTGATCCTCCTCCTCCACCTTCTCCTTCTTCTCCTGTTACTCCTAATTCGCCTCCTCCACCTGCTCTTCCTCCTTCTGATCCTCCTGATCCTCCTCCTCCAGATCTTCCTCCTCCTCCTCCTCCTCCTCCTCCTCCTCCTCCTCCTCCTCCTCCTCCTCCTCCTCATCCTCTCTTCTTTTTCTCATTCTCCTCTTCTTCCATCTTTTTGCTTCCTCTTCCTTACCTCCCTTCTCTTTTGGTCCTTTCTTGTTTTTTATTTCTGTATCTGACGTTTTTCCAATTTTACCAGGAATGCATTAGCAGTGTACACAAACTTAAAACAAAGCCAGTTTATTTCACACCCCATCCTAATGACTCTTGACATGTGTTTCCCCTGCATCTCTGAGGCTGGCCTCTGCTGTTCTCGGGAAGTGTCCTTTGGCCTCTCCCCGGATATCCAAACCACAGAGAGGTCATGACCCTTCCAGTGTGTCTGCCGGGACACCTTCCCTTCTACAGTCAGTGTTGAGAAGTGGGGACAGACTGGGTCAGCTTTCCATTCGGTTCTTGTAACAGTGCTCTGAGGTGGGGACAGTGTTCCACTTAACAGATGAGAAACTGAGGCACAGAGCAACTAAGTAACTTTCCCAAGGAGCCTCAACAATAAAGGCTGAAAGCCGGGACTCTGGTGGGTCTGCGGGCCCCTCACTGCCACCCCCCACCCCTACCTCCGTTCTGGAAGGGAGGCCCCGCCCAGACAGACCCAGGCCCTCTGGCTGCATCTCACAGG